AGATCATCAAGTCCAACCCCCTGCTTTGGCAGGAAAGAGTACTGGGATCAAACGACCCCTGCAAGGTGTTCACCCAGCCTCCTCTTAAAGACCCCCAGGGTAGGAGCCAGCACCACTTCTCTTGGAAGTTGGTTCCAGATCCTAGCCACCCTGACAGTGAAATAGCGCCTCCTGATATCTAGCCTGAATCTACCCTCTGCCAGCTTGTGACTGTTAATTCTTGTCACTCCTGGTAGTGCTCGGGGGAACAGGGACTCTCCCAATGCCTGCTGGTCTCCCCTGACTAGTTTGTAAATGGCCACTAGATCCCCCCTTAGCCTTCTCTTGTGGAGGCTGAACAGGTTCAGGTCCCTTAGCCTCTCCTCGTAGGGCCTGCCCTGCTGACCCCTGATCATGCGGGTGGCCCTCCTCTGGACCCTCTCCATGTTTTCCACATCCCTCCTGAAGTGCAGCACCCAGAACTGGATGCAGTACTCCAACTGCAGCCTGACCAGTGTCGCATAGATGGGGAGGATCACCTCCTTGGACCTGCTCAAGATGCATCTGTGAATTCATGACAAGGTATGGTTGGCCTTCCTGACCACATCCCCACACTGTCCGCCCATGTTCATTTTGGCATCAATAATGACTCTAAGATCCTTTTCTGCCTCTGCACTGTTGAGAAGGGAGTTCCCCAGCCTATAGGTTTGCTGCTGGTTCTTCTTCCCCCAGGTGCAGTACCCTGCACTTGTCAGTGTTGAAACCCATCCTGTTCTTATCTGCCCACCCCTGTAACCTGTCTAGGTCCGATTGCAGCCTATTCCTCCCTTCTAGCATGCCCACTTCTCCACACATCTTAGTGTCTATATTCATTTGGTTATATATAGGCATCTGGTCATTTTGGCTGGGGAGACAATGGTGGCTACAAGTAATGTATGTTCCCATGTCTGCACTGGATATAAAAACTGTCAGGCCATAACTATGCTAGTCCAGTGCACCCCAAAGACCAGTTGGACTTTTGAGCTTAGATAAAGCCCAGACCAGCAAAAGTATTTCAGTATTTAATTCAGGGAGTTAGGCACCTAAGTGCTTTTGACAACCTGGGCTTGAAGACTTCATCTTTTGGAATGCTTTAGATGCATCAGAGTTTCAGTTTTTCAAAGAAATGCTTGCACAACTGATACATCTACTTGATTCTGCACAAAGCCTGAAGTAACAGTGGATTGTTAAATCCAAGATTTAGGGTTACTATATTTCCAGGTCCAAAAAAGAGGATACCTGTGGGGGGGGGGGGCAGGGGGAATATGATGGTGCTGGGGAGCAATGACAGGCTGGTCCCCTTCCCCTGCCCATTCTGTTGCCTCTCACTGACAAGCCACCCACCCCACTCCAGCTCTGCTGCTGCTCCTCACTCTGGACCCACTGACCCCATCCCAGCCATTGCCCCTCACTTCCAAACTGCAGTACCCCGCCCCCCCACCCCTTGCTGGTGCCCCTCTCTCCCAACCTGCAGCCCCCTGGTGCTGACAGTGCCCCACACACCCAACCCACAGTCACCCATCCCATCCCCCATGCCCCTCAGTCCTCATCTGCAATCTCCTGTCCCCCTGCCAGCCCTGCTGGTGCCCTTCACTCCTGACCTGAAGCCACTGCCCCCCAGCCTTGCTGGTGCCCCTCACTCTAAACCCACAGCCCCCTGCCCCCCCACCCTGCCAGTGCCCCTCACTGCCAACCCACAGACCCCGGCGCACCCCACAGCCCTGCTGCCCAAGCAGCTCCCATATTGCACATGCGCTGGCTGTCTCTCTCTCTCTCTCTGTTTCTCTCTGTACCTGGTTGCCAGAACCCATGCAGGGAACACATGATCCTCGGCAACCAATCACCTTGCCTGCTGCTCCCAGCCCCAAGCATCCACCCCAGGACAGCGGAAAACCTGGACATTTACTCTTATTTTAAAAAACCCACCCAGACACAGGACAGGGGGCCAGAAAAAGAGAACATGTCTTGGAAAACCCAGACGTATGGTAGCCCTAAGATAACTCCATTCAGGGGGGTAGCCAGCAGAGAAAAGTACAGTAGACATAGCCAGTTTTGATCAAGGCAAATACAACATGGTTACTGATATAAGCAAAGGCCCCTTTGCTGCTAATTCTGCTTTTGGGGAGGGAGTACTGGGGAAAAGGATGGCAGGGCAAAGACTGATTTTTCCGCCTTATCTGGTCTGAAGGATAACCTGGCATAATTCTCTTCATGAGAATTTACTTATTGTGTAACCAAATTTAGATAACTGGTTGTGCTGGAAGTGTCCAATCAACTATCTTTAAGATTTTTGGGGGGTTTAAATGTCATCTAATCAAGTAACAGAAAGGCCATGTGAGCAAGGTGATCAACCTTACAGCAATACCATCTCATCACTAATCATAAACAATCTAAGCAGTAGTCCAGGTTTTAGTTGACAAATAATTCTTAGCCCAAGTACTGTCTAGGATAGAAGAACTGGTTCCTTTGGGCTACCGTACACTCAATGTTCTAAAACACTCCTATTTGAATAGAATAGAGTCTAGGTTTGGGATTGCTGATTGCTTTCTATTGTTAAGGGTCTACAAGTGACACAAAGAATCACTTACATCATCTGGATAGCCCAGTCCCACATGTAAATTAAAAGAGGAAAATGAAGGCAAAATGCAATTTGCAGTTAAATGTGCATTTAAGAATGGAATTTGGAGATTGGTATACACATATACAAATGTACATTAATTCATCACACCTTTTCACTTTTCTCACTGGGCAAAATCCAAATGGGTAAATTAGATGCTAAGTGGGATTTTGGTAGATTTTTGAACTTCAATAATTAGAAATGCCATAACTACTGGGTTCCAGAAGCCTACTCAGTCTTGTTTGCTCTCCTTCCCACTCCATGGTCACAACTACATGAGATGCTGACTGCCCAGTTGTTACTGTACAGTCATTTAGTATTTGTATTCACAAGTACTAAATGAGCAGTAACTGGAGTTACTGTGCAGTAGCATCGCTGAACAGCTTTTTGGTGATGCTGGCTGCACAGTAGGTTGTTACTACTGCACAGTAGCATCATGTCACACTAAGTGCCATGTGACACTACTGCACAGTAGTAAGGCAGATGTGGCCCATTACTGTAAATTTTGTTTACATTATGTCCCAGTTTGAACAAAAGAAGACTATTCTATAATTTTGTGGTAACACCATTTTCTTCGAAGGCACGACATATAGTTTGGAATCTCTAAGGCAGAGGAGGGCCTAGAACCTAAGTATCCTACTTTCTTGGTAAGTTCTCTAACTTTGGGCTATAATGCTAAAATGAGCACTACCATTACCACCACAGAAGTAGGCTCCATACTCTAGGTAATTAGTAGATAGATGTACCTTAGGTACAGTTTTGAATCCAGTATCTCCCCTTCAGAGATTATTAATTTTCCATTGATGGGACAGGGATCCCAGGTACCTAAGCCCATTTCACTGAATCATCTTTAAGCATGAAGAAAAAAACAAACTGAAAGTGCCAAAGGGGCTAATCTGGATCTTGTCCTATATCTTTGTATGTGTCATTATGTTTGCAAATAGATCTTGCTTTTTTGGCAGTACTAGACTACAACTTAAACATTTCATAATTCCCACACATGCTCCCTTATGAAAAATGAGAGCATCTGTTTATTGTGTTGACTTAGTCCAAATAAATGTCTTCTGCAAGTACTCTATTATTGAAAACCATGCCAAGTTTGAGTAAGGAGGGTTGATTTTCCTTTTTAATGCAGGGCAACTATATTAAAATTGTTATTGACAGGGTCTAGCTTTGTGTTTATGAATTTATCCTAACTGATATCCATAATCATTAGCTAGTATTCTTCCTTCTTCATAATGTTTACTGTACAGTGGCCACATCTACACAACACACTGACTGCATAGTAGCTTGTTACTACTGCTCAATAGCATCATATGGCATGAACCGTGATGCAACACTTCTGCGCAGTAGTAATGAGCTACTGCTCAGTCAGTGTCACCAAAAAGCCATGTGGGGATTTATTTGTATGCAAGTACTAAATCACTGCATAGTAACAACTGTGCAGTCAACGTCTCATACAGACATGGCCAGTATGTATCAGGAAAGGTGAAGGAATGTGAGTCAGAGGGAAGGCAAAAAATGAGGGATGCAATGATTAAGAAAACTAAAGATTGGTAGAATTAAGCAGCAATTCATTTCCACCTGATCTTATGATATGTTTTGATTAACTGACTTCAGTACAACAAAACACACCAGGATGAAATACAATATTTCATAATTATATCTATTTTGCAAAGTGTTGCAAAATTAGTTATTTTCTCTCTCAATAATTTAAGATGTTTTGATGCTTTTTGATGTACTCATATAAGTATATCATAGTGCCTTGCTGAACATTGTTGCCATTCTCCTTAGCATGAAGTCTGCAGTAAGGATGGTTTGTTTTCTTTGGTTGGTTGGAGTCCTGTTCATGGGCATAACAGGCAGTCTTCTAGGCTTTGACTCATCCTCAAGCATATTCCATACAACAGGGATTCTCAAACTATGGGTCATGAGCAACTTAAAAGGAGGATGCAAAGTTCCCAGGGGGATACACAGTGCTGCAGGGAAGCAGCATGCAGCAGTGGCATACACTGGTGGATGGCAATGCTCAGGGTTGTGGTATCACAAAATTTGAGAGCCCCTGCCATACATCTCTCTGTTCCATTTCATGAGTTGGGTTGTCATAGACATTTTATACAGCCCCTACGATTATATTGTCAAAAAAAAATGGACAGTTCTAGTGGAGCAGAGCACTGAGGTGCCCTGCTTCTAGAGAGGGGAAACTGCTGGGGAAAAGAGCCCTAGCAGGGAATAAGAGCCCACCTGCGGGTTGCCAGGGCAACTGGAGGCAGCAAATGACCCACACCTGACAGCGGTCAGCCATCTGTAAGGGGCAAGGCCTGGCTCTTATAAAGCCCAGGGCTGAGGCCAGGCTGGCAGCTCCCTGCCAGTAGCCAGAGAGGCAGGAGCTCTGTAAGCCATGATGTGAGTCAAATTGCAGGTATAGCTGGACCTGAGTTGAGCAATGTTGTTTTAGCTGAGGAGCTCTGCGTTATGTTGTAGCTGAGAGGCTTGTGTTTGTTTTGTGGTTGTTTATTACACTGGTGGTTTGGGTGAGGCTATTAGGGGTTGGAGGAGGCCTCAGGGGGAACCCACAGTGGTGTGGGGACCCTGGTGCCAGTGAGGGCACAGTATCCTCAAAGGGGTCTCACAGCGGAGTGTGAGGACCCTGGTGCCCAGGAGGGCACAGCATATGGGGTGTGTAGACCTAAGCCCCAGGAAGGGGGCAGCATTTTGAGAAGCCAAAGTGTGGGTGTGGTGAGCCCCAGGAAGGGGGCAGCATTTTGAGAAGCCAAAGTGTGGGTGTGGTGAGCCCCAGGAAGGGGGCAGCATTTTGAGAAGCCAAAGTGTGGGTGTGGCGAGCCCCAGGAAGGGCAACTTTATCAAGAAGCCCAGTGTGGGTGTTGTGAGCACCAGGAGAGGGCACTATTGAGAAGCCCCAGTATGGGCATGTTGAGGCCCTGAGAGAGGGCAAGGAGAGCCCCAGGAGGGGACGGCAGTGTATGTAGAGAGAGCGATAGTGACAGTCCAACATCCATTCCAACTGTGAGGCTTGGGGTGTGGTATAAGGGGTGGTTGGAGCCACCCATAGGCCATAAGGCTAAAGAAGCACCCGTTTGCAGGACAAGACCCACGAGGGGTCCAGGAGTGTACAGGACCAGAGGGTACAACAGACTGTGTCCAAGAAGACGTTAGGCAGCCTCCCAACTGATTTAAACCATCAAAGGCACGGTGGGCGAGAAATAGAGGGTGCCCTTGGGCCAACTTGGCACGGAGAGGGGGCCTTAAGGAGATCACGGCCCTCCTGTAGGACCCCACCGTGACATCTAGCTATATGGAAATCTTCTGGGTCTGCTCCTTTCCTGTGGTCACAGTCTGCTCATTATTCCCTGTTTCTAGCTATACAATTAATTACTAGTTCTTCTGGTGATTAAGAATTAAAAATACCTCTCTTTGGTTTCTACTCTAACTCTGGTGATTAATTCCCTTCCTACTTTAAATATAGTGTGGTGATGCTTCCTGACTGGTTGACTACTCCTCAATCTGTCTGATTCTCTGAAGCATCAGTACTTGTTTAATATATGGAAAGCCATGCAACTTTCTTCTAATAGGATCATCATTTTTTCACTTTATAGGGAAGAAGTCACTTCTTGTTTCTGTCAAAAAAGAATCCATGCCACACTTCATAGCACAACCACTTTCAATTAGGGTAAGAACAAATGTTCACCACACCTAGTTCAGGTTTAGGTGGCTTTAAAACTAGCCATGTAACCGAGCATGCTAGTGTTCACCATTCCTGGGAGTGGTGTGGACAGCCTGAGATAAGTAACTTGAGGTTGGAGGAAGGCTGGTGAGTCCATGGGTGGAATGCTGCAAGCTGTGGGAGTGTTGGCAGGTCTGAGGGTGAGGGCTGTTTAAATCAAGGGAGTTACTCAGGGAGCTAAAAATAGCCCAATCTGAATTGGGGCAGTAGGGACAACACAGCTCTGGAACTGGGATGAGTAGATGGGTTTTCCCAGTCCTGGGTCTGTATTGTGACTGATTCCAGGCATTCTCTAGGTTGGGTTAACCCTTTATCAATCTAAAGTTAAGTCACCACCTGCAGTGAACTAACTCAGATTTTGTGTGACATTTTGGTGTGATTGAAACACTGTGGAGGCCTGCACACTGAGCATTCAGATTGACCTATGTAATCTAAAAAGCATCTCGGCAGACAGGATTTCTAATCTAGCAAGGAGGGCTTTAAATTAGGTTTGCTGAGGGTTGGAGACCAAATACCTGAGGTAAGTGGGAGACCTGGAGAAAGAGCAAGCAGGAGGGGGCAACAGAGAAGGTGTTCTCATTCTTCCTGAGAAAGCAGAGCGATCAACTAGTTACTTTAGGTGCCTGTACATGAACACGTGGAGCCTGGGAAATGAACAGGAAGAACTGGAAGTCCCTAGACACTTATAGAACTATGATGTGATTAGAATAAAAAAGACTTGGTAGCATAGCTCACATAAGTGGAGCACCGGCATGGATGCATATAAATTATTCAGGAAGGACAGGCAGGGGAGAGGAGGAGGAATTGCACTTCATGTAAAGGAGCTGTATGATTGCTCAGAGTTCCAGTATGAAACTGGGTTAGGGTCAAAAGAGATCAACGAAGGTGATGTTGTGGTTGGGGTCTGCTATACAGACCAGGAGGATGTGGTAGATGAGGCTTTCTTCAAACAGCCAGCAGAAGTTTTCCCATTACAGCACCTGGTTCTCATGGGGAACTTCAATCACCTTGACATCTGCTGGGAGGACAGTACAGTCATGGGCACGCAATCCAGGAAGTTTTTGGAGAGTGCTGGGGACAACCTTGTGGTGCAAGTGCTGGAGAGACCAACTAGGGGCCATGTTCTTCTTGACCTGCTGCTCACAAACAGGGAAGAATTGGTGGGGAATGTAATAGTAGATGTCAGCTTAGACAGCAGTGATCACAAGATGACTGAGTTCAGGATCCTGAGGAAAGGAAAGCAGGAGAGTAAGGACCCTAGACTTCATAAAAACAGACTTCAAATCACTTGGGGTACTCATGAGCAAGATCCCCTATGAAGTGAGTCTGAGGGGGAGAGGAGTCCAGGAGAGCTGACTTTACTTTAAAGAAGCCTTACTGTGAGTGCAGGAACAAACCATCCCAATGTGCAGGAAGACTAGCAAGTATGGCAGAAGACTAGCTTGGCTTAGCAGATAACTCTTCTTATAAGCTTCCTTTTTGTGATTTAGCTTACTGAAGTGGGAATTTGGACAAAAACTAGAGAGGGGTATAAGAGTATTGCTTGGGCATGCAGGGATGAAGTCAGGAAGGCCAAAGTGCAATTTAAGCTGCAACTAGTAACAGTCATGAAGGGGAAGAAGAAGGGATTCTCCAAGTATGTCGGTAACAAATCAGGGAAAGTGTGAGTCCCTTACTGAATGGGGGAGGCAGCCTAGTGACAAGGATGCAGACAGGACTGAAGTACTTAAGTACCTTTTTCACCTCAGTCTTCACAGGCAAGTTCAGCTCCCAGACTACTGCACCAGGCAGCACAGCTTGGGGAGGAGGTGAGCAGCCAACAGTGATGAAAGAAGAGGCTAGGGACTATTTAGAACATCTGGATGTATACAAATCCATGCAGCAGGATGGGGTGCCTCCCTCTGCCTCCAGATGCTGAAGGGGTTGGTTGATGTAAATGCAGAGCCACTGGCCATCATCTTTGAAAACTCACGGTTTTCAGGAGAAGTCCTGGACAGCTGGCAAAGGGCATATATAGGGTCCATATTTAAGAAAGGGGAAAAAGGAAGGATCCAGGGAACTACAGACCAGACAGCCTCATGTCAGTCCATGGAAAAATCATGGAGCAAATTCTCAAGAAATCCATTTCTAAGCACGTGGAGAGAAGAAGGTGATTAGAAACAGTGAGCATGGATTCACCAAGGGCAAGTCATGGCTGACCAATCTGATTGCCTTCTATGACAAGATAACTGACTCAGTTGATACAGGGAAAGCAGTAGATGTAATATAGCTTGTCTTTTGCAAGGTCTTTGATACCATCCCCCACAGTATTCTTGCAGGCAAGCTGAGGAAGTATGGGTTGGATAAATGGACTGTAGGGGGATAGAAAACTGGCTGGATTATTGAGCTCAGAGGGTAGTAATCAATGGCTCAGTGTCTAGTTGGTAGCTGGTATCAAGTGGAGTGCCCCAGTGATCAATCCTAAGGCTGAGGTTCATAGATTCATAGATGTTAGGGTCAGAAAGGACCTCAATAGATCATCGAATCCGACCCCCTGAATAGGCAGGAAAGA